TTCTTGCTAGGTTGTATTAGTAAATGGATGATCAGCAAGGGATTGGGTTTATCTTGCTTGATTGTTGAATTATATGCCTATGATTTAGCATTACTTGTATTGTTGCATTGTCAATGAGTTTATAAGCATCTTGGTCTTGTGTTTGAATCCTCCTAACTCCATAACCTCATCTAGGATCCTTGCTTTTAGTTTATTAAATTTCGAATTTGCTTAAGTATTTGTCTTGATTACTTTGATCATTGCCTAATCACTGCTCTTGCTAGTTTTGTTTGGTTGATGATTCATTATGTTGATAGCCAAAACAATCTTTATGTTTCTGATTGAATTATAGTATCTATTGTATTCTTGGTGTTTTCACATTAGCCTATGAATTGATAAGAGCTCAGTACTACAATGACTAGTGTAGGTTGAGTAATTGAAGTAGTTGATCAGCTTGCGTCAATTTGGCGACGTTGTCATAGGCTATAGTTCTAATCATTAGGATGTAGAAACTCTTATATCAAGTGGCTCCAACAACTTAGTTGACTTCATTGACAATATCAACTTGTTGGACAGAGGTCAAAGAGCTAGAAGGCAAAGAGAGAGGTTACAATACTTTGAGAGGTTAGGGATGAATGTTCAAGATGAGAATGTTTATGTTCAGAGACCACAAGAAGCTCCAGGAGTTCAAGCAGCTGCAAGAGTGCAGGGCCGACATGGCCAACAAGGACAACAAGGTGTGCAAGGAGAACAGGGACAGAGAGGTCCAGCTCATGCTCAACGCCCAATGAGGCCAATAGGGGCATGAGATGCTCCAAATGCATACAACAACAGGAATGGTATCCTTCTTCTTCTTGTCCACAACAATAACTTTGAGATAAAGAGCAGCCTTATCTCAATTGTTCAGGGCAGCAAATTTCATGGACTGCCACTTGAGGATCCCCTAGATCATCTGGATAACTTTGATAGATTGTGTTTCCTCACAAATATCAATGGAGTTAGTGAAGATGGCTTCAAGTTAAGGCTTTTCCCATTCTCTTTGGGTGACAAAGCCCACCAATGGGAGAAGAATCTGCCTCAAGGGAGCGTCACCAGATGGGATCAATGTAAGAAAGCCTTCCTAGCAAAGTTTTTCAGCACCTCTTAAACAGCAAGAATCAGAAATGAGATATCAAACTTCTCACAAAAAAAGCAATGAGTCCTTTGAAGAGGCTTGGGAGAGGTTCAAGGGATACTGTGGAGACCCAACCTGGCTAACTTAACCGCAGCCGTGCCTTCAATACATCTAAACAGTTTGGTTCTATACTTAGGCAAATTTTTAAAATTTTCTTTGCAATAATCAATACACAGCGGATTCCATAAACCATTTCATTCCATTATAACTTGAATAAAAACACTTAACAGGATTCGGGGTTCTCATAAAACAAAACACAACGGTTCGCTGATGAATACATCATATCATCTAGCAACCTAAACGGTCAACACCAAAGCCATAAGACCAAAACACAAGTCTAAACATAAAACACCTAATCCCCAATCCATTCATGTTCATCACTGTCGCCGGTGTCGCTCCACTTACTACTTAGATCCTGCACACTCAAACAAGAGAAGCATAAGTATTGTCATAAATGCTTAGTGAGTATGGTCATCCCGTAACACCTTGGTCAGTACCATTCACGCATTCATACTATCGGATTCAACATCCCACACAATCAATTCGCAATAAACACAACACATATCAAACAGCCATGATCATCTACCCTAACCGCCCAAGTTCAATCCTTTTTTAAGACCCATGTCTACTTCAGCGAGAATCCCACATCCCCTAAGCTAGTATATGATCCGGATTACCCTGAGGTTATCATCTATGCCACGGTAAACACCTCACAATATCATAGTATAGAATCGTTTAACACACGCTAAGCACAAAACATGCAAATGACATAGTCAAACATGCAAAACATCAAACCCTAGCAATCCAACGATCCTAAATACTAACCACAGTCACGCACTCACCTTAGACAAGGTTGGAAACAGACTGGTCATAAGAAATCCCGGTGTAACCCGCATGGAAACGAAGATAATTTATCACCCTAGAGATCTCTCGGCTATCGCTACGATCTGATCCCTCTCTCCTCGGCTATCTCTCGATCTGTTCACCTTTCTTCGAGCCAAACTCTGTTTTCTCTCAGAAACCCCACAAAACACACTTATTAGCTCGAGTTTATCCGATGGAAACTCGACACAAAGGGAAATATCCGATCGCTTACCAGTTTATCTCGGTGATGGTCAGATATGTATGGCGATGGCTCAATCTCTCTCGGCTATCCTCGGGATAAACTTTTTTCTCTCGACTAATCTCTCTTTCTTGCTTTTGTTATTTACAATAAACGCAACTCTCCCGAGATAAGTCTCAAAACACCTTATATACTCGCAAAACCCTAAGTAACCTAGACTTAACCGACGTTTCATGGTTCCGTTAGGATTAAACCCGATCCGATCAGATTATCTCGGCTATAACCCATACCAGCTCTACCATCCGCGTGACAAATCATGTTTTAGCCGACCTATTCACACACGGCCCACGGCCCAGCCCAGCTTCCCTTGGCTATTTCCTTTTCTCTCGGATAAACCACTTTTATCCGAGTTATTTTCCTTCTGTCCGGTCATTTTCCATTTTTCTTCCAGATAAACTGAACCACCTCGGCTAATTTCCATTTTTCCCTTGGAGACTTTCCTTTTCTCCAGACATAGTCCACTCTCACTCCGACTAACCCCATTTTCTCACGGACTGGACCATTTTCTCTCGGATATGGTCCATCCGGCTCGGCTATCCCAGCCATCCATCGACTGTTTCCCAGTCATCACTCGACCATAATCTCAACCTTCTAGTTCCTAGCCAATGTCAGAACCTTTGCTCGATCATCCCTCGGACCATGTCCTATCTGCCTCGATCATTTCAAATTTTCTCGGATACAGATGCTACAGATACACTCTTCAATGTCCACATCATGGCTTCTCCAATGAATCCCTGCTATCTACACTTTATAGAGGCGCCTTACCCAAGATCAGGATGCTCCTTGACACAGCCAGCAATGGGAACTTCTTGTCTAAGGATGTAGATGAAGGTCTTGAGCTTGTAGAGAACTTGGCTTAAAGTGATGGCAACTACAGGTGCAGCACAAAGAGATAAACTTTGTTGGTGATATGGTTGAGATGCCAAGTGAGGAAGAGCTCCAAGTGGAGGAGATGAATTATGTGGGCAATCAAGATGGCTACAACAACTATGATAATTATAGGTCTAACCCCAATCTGTCCTATAGGAGCAACAATGTAGCCAACCCACAAGACTAGGTGTACCCTCAACAGCAAGCTCAAGGCAACCAACAAAGGAACTTTGTGCCTTTCAATTAAGGATTTTCTCCAAAGAATAATTTTCAGGGAAATTTCCAGTCCAAGCAGTATGCTCCTCCTGGTTTTGCACAAGGTCAAACAAGCTCCTCTAACACCAATGAAGCTGAGATGAAGGGACTGCTTCAACAACGCCTTTAAGGACAGCAAACCACAAACTTGGAGATCAACAAGAAATTTGTTGAGGTTTGCAACAGGATTGATTCTATCCATGCTGAGTTCTCAACCAAGATTGATAGTTTGGCTTCAAAAGTGAAGATATTAGAAGTCAACAAAGGCATTGCTGGACCAAGACCTCAAGGAAACCTTCCTGGAAAATCAGAAGCTAATCTAAAAGAGTTTTGCAATACTATAGTCTCAAAAGAAGAGCCTCTCTTGACTGATAAAGAATCTATCATTGAAAATTTCTTTTCATTAATCAATAAGGATATTGAACTTCAGAATGGGAAGAGAAATTTTTAGTAACTAACACCACCAAAAAAGACACTAAGAAAGAGTTTTTTAAAAAGAAACTACCAAAAAAAATAAGAAGAAAGCAAGAAAGAGTCTCTTAAAAAAAACCACTAAAAAAAAGGAGAAGAAAGTACAACTTAAAATTGTTGAAGCTAAAAAGGAACACAAAGCTTATAATCTTGCATCTTACAAATATAAAATTATAAATAAAAAATAATGTTTCAGTGTTGTGTGCTCAGAATTAGATTGTCTTCTTCTCTATTTTGCTTTTCTTTTAAAGTCTTACCCGTTAAAGGTTATTAATTTCTTGATTGAAAATAGCATCAAACAACACATGAAAACTATTGCTGAAATTTAGGATGCTGCAATCATAATCTAAACATAATTATAACGTAAGATTCTAAATCTTTTAAACCGCTTTACTACAAAAAAATTAAAAAATTAAGAAAAAAATATTTATATATCATATAAGTAAATTTGGGTTAGGTTATATAAAATGTCAATAATTTGTTGACTATATACCTATTTTATAGTTTTGAATGAGAGTAGCACTATATTTTTTTAGCTTAGCAGAACTAAAAATAAATATATGTACTGGTATCGAATTTTTTATGTAAATGAATGTTTTGTTTTTGTTTTTTAATGTTAGTATTATTTTACTGTGGAAGTTAACTTTGCAAATTATTAGAGATAAAAATTAATTAAATGAAATACCTAAAATCATCGAAAATAGTCAACATTTTGTTTTGGTAACAAAACCTTAAACTTTTGTTTACAAATCTATTTTAGTCTCAACTTTTTTGAGAGAAAGAAACAATTTTTTTTTTGTTTGGTAACAAAACCATAACTTTGGTTGACCAAACTATTTTACTCTCAAAGTTAGACAATATTTACAGTTGACTAACAGTTAGACTAAATTATTTAGTTGATAAAAGTTGAGGATTAGAACGGTTTGACCAAAAAGGATGATGAAAAAAAAAATTAAAAATATTTGGCTGAAAATGTGTAGTAAAATTATTTTTGTGGCAAAAATTATTATTAGTAGCTGGCAAAAAAGTACCAATTAATGTGAGGTGCTAAACATTTTTTGGCAACAATATGATGACAGATGCGAATTGAGGGTGAATTAAAGTGTTGTGAATATAGCATTATATTAAATGCAAGTTTTGTATATATTTGTTTATATGTTTTTTCTCATTTTCGCTTTTCTCATTTTTCTTACTTTCTGAATCAGCATAGATAAAAAATCAAATCAACACATCGATTAACATTGGCCGATCTACTCCAAACCAAGTATAACAACTGAGAGATTCCAATCATATTCGTTGTCGTAACCAACACAATTATTGAATTAACTCACTAAACCAAAATCGAATTTCGAATCAGATCTCTGTCGTATATGCACCACCAATTTTCAGCTCATTTCTGAAACAAGTTGTTAATCAGATCTCTGCCAGCCTACTGACATAACAAGGTAAATATATAATTTATTAAAATCATAGTTTTCGCTATGTTATATGCATTTGTATCCTAACAAATACTTTCTTTCTTAAAGATCAATTTTCTAAAATTTTCATAAATATTAAAAAGAAAAGTATTCATAAATGTATAAATTTTAAGAATATACAGTTTCATATGATTATAAACCAATAGTAATTTTAAAAGTTTGATTATTTTTACTGATATTTTAAAAATATATATTTGGGAAAATTAAAGGAATATATATAACTTATTATTCTATCAATATGTGACCAAAAACAAATATTCTATCAATATATATATATAAGCATGTTTTTCCGAACTTGTTAGTAATTATTATAACGTACGTGTTTTTTTTAAACACTTGATACAAAAGTATGTAAATATAACTACATATTCTTAAGGTTAAATATATAAATACTACATATTCATAAGGTTAGTACTTAATAGTAGAGAGAGAAATGTACTCTGATGAAATATTATCACTATTCGGTGTCATTAATTTATCTTCAATTATTGTCATCTAGTGCATTTGCTCAAATCAAACGGGCTGATTTTAACATTAAATTAATTCAGAAAACAAACAGAAAAGCCAAAAGACGAAAAGGTTTCAAAATCTCCGGAAGACACGCATTGGCCGGCGTCGAAGAGAGTAGAGCTCCGAAGTTGGTCACTGGCTCACTGCGTTGAACGATCAGAGAATTGATATCCAGGCAGACTTTATAAAACCCTAATCAGAAATCCCCAAAGCAACCAACTAAGAAAACCCTAATCCGAAATCGCCTCGCTTTTGGACCATCGTGCTGCTTAGGATCATCGGAAGAATCTGGGTTTGGAAAACTTCTTTGCAAAAATGGTAACTTTCTCGCTCATTCTTCTCTCTCTCTCTCCCTATTCGACAAAGATTTTGTTTTAGTGTTTGGGGTTTTTGAGGTTGATGCTCGCTCTTTGTGACGTTGCAAAAAAGATTGGGAAATCCGATGGTTATAGCTTCGTTAATCTGTTAGATTTGGGGTTGATGCTTTAAAGATTGATTCAAGGGTGGGAAAATGTTGATCTTTCCGCTGAAAATCCCAGGTTTCTGGTTCTTCTTTTCTTCATTGCAGGCGCCTGTTTGTCAGACTTGTGGTGACATTGGTTTCGAAGAACAACTCGTGTATTGTTACTCTTGTAGGACTGAATCTGTTCACCGGTGAGTTAAGTTTTTCAGTCGGATTTTATTAATTTGCTTAGTGTTTCTTCTTATGTTGTTAAAAGTTCTTTGTGTTGTGCACTTGTGCTTATTCCTCTTTGTCTTTTGTTTCTCCAGCTATTGTTTGGGCATAACGCCTGTTCCTTTTGCGGTGAACGCAACTTGGTTCTGTGAGGGCTGTGACAGGAGTGAGAGTCACTCTGATTGCAAAGAAGATGATGAGACTGCTTATGCTAAGAGTGGAGATATCTTGGAGAAGAACGAGAAAGAGAATAAAGAGACTAACAATCAGACTTCGCCGGTTTTAGTTTTCGAATCAGTCTCGGAGGGCGTAAGTTCATCTACTGTTCAGGATCATAAATTTTGTACCAGCAAAAGAAGAAGTTTAAGTTCTGGCAACATACGGGTTACTAGTGAAAACACACAGTTAGCTGCTGAGAACAGTTCTTGCAAAGAGGCTGAATCAAATATGCCACAAACAAATGAGGTTGTGACAGCTCCGGTTTTCAATTCTCTGGCACTAGGTAAAGACAGAGCGCTACCAATCTATGAACCGATATGGAGGTAAAGCACAGAAATTTATCTCTAGTTTTATCGTTCTGCATCTCAACATTGGTGCATGACATTCATCACTTGAATCATAATCTGCTTTTGTGTGATTTTAGGGGATCGATATCTGTGAAAACCGGAAACATCAGTGGCATTGATGGGCTTGTTGCTCATTTATCAAGCTTAGCCTGTCATAAAGTTCATGAGAAGGCAAGGTCATTACAGGCTCGCCTCCCTGCTGAGATGTTTCCTAGGTTGGAGATATGGCCAGATAGCTTTCTCAAGAACAAACCACCTACCGATGAAAGTATTGCTCTTTACTTCTTCCCTTCCAGTAAAAGGTATATTACACGCTTAAACAATATCTCACTGACATCTTGATCATATATGTTGTAAAAGTGTTTACCTTTTCCTGTTTCTTGTTTCCAGTAATGATGAGAAGGTTTACAATTCGCTTGTTTGTGAAATGAAGAAGAATGATTTGGCTATGAGATGTGTTGTTGACAATGTGGACCTTCTTCTCTTCACTTCTTATCAGTTACCAATGCATTGCTGGAGTAAGTCTATAGATCTTATTATCTGTAAACATAACAGTTTGTTCATTCATTGTTTTGCCATGAGTCGTTAAAGCTAAGAAGGCTGAGTTGTTGGTTTGCAGCCTTTCACTCGAAGGAGTACTTGTGGGGAATTTTCAGGCGCAGAAAGACTCGACATTAGTCACCAGACTCGCTACCAATTGACAGTTTTTGAATAGGAGCAAGGTTTAACATACAGATGAAAATCTTAAGTAGGACTTGAAGAATTCTCCTACGCCTTTTTGTTTAGCATTCGTTTGCTCTGTTTCGGGTTTAGCACATATCTGGTTTTTGTCGTCCAATTGTTTGATAGTTTTGCCAGATTCTGTATAGGATCTTACCCGAGACGGGGTTATTTTTGGTGGATTTGTGCAAAGGGATTGATCAAATTAGTGATAACTTTGAGATCTTCCTGATTGTAGTAGAGCTTGATATTGATCCAATACCTTCATGGACAGTAGCCGTCTGAGAAAAGATGTTTCAGTAATGAACAATCAGGTTAAACAAAATAGTCAACGGAATTTTAGGAGGGGGCATATTGAACTAATGATTGATTTTGGGATAATTTGAGGAAATTTTAAAGGAATTTAAGATTTCAGAAAATTTAGCATAATTATAGCTACAATTTTGAAAGTGATTAGAAAGAATTTAGGGGCATTTGAAAAACAATTTTGTTATGAATTATTATATGATGTCTATTATAAGCCTATTAGACTCATCTTCTAGAAGGTTCTAAAGTTACTTGTAAATTTTGTCATCAATTAAAACTCTGTCTTTGTGCTCCTATATAAAGGACTACCTATTCATTGGAATAACACAACATCAATTCTTTCTTTCTATTCTCTCTATTCACAACACGTTATCAGCACGAAACTCTAGCTGTGTGAGCTAATAGGTATACAAATCTGTTTTTTAGTATTTATTTATTCCAAGTTCGAATCATGTTTATTATCAACTCATGGTTTGTAAGAATGGATCATTAATCAATATATGATAATCTCATGCAGAGATTCAAATTAATGTTTATGTTATTAATCTTTTTTTTTACAAGATCAATATTATGATAAATTCTTTTGAAGAGATTTACATAATCAATATTATGATGAATTCTCTTGTAGAGATCCAATATATATGTTTATTTTATTATATTTATGATTGATATTATGATAAATTTTCCTGCAGAGATTTAAATCATATAATTATTATATTATTATTATTTTTATAAATAATAAGTTTTCCAGTAGAGATTTAAATCACATGTTTATACTAATATATTTTTGCATGATATATATAAACATACTAGGTGGTCCGTCCGCGCCAGCGCGGATAAATAATTTTTTGGCGAGATTTTGTTACACGTACTTCTTTATCATTTTGTGTTGGTGTTTAATATATATATATATATATAATAAACAGTTACAAATGATTTCTATTTTACAATATGTTAGCTACCGTAAGCAATCTATTTAGCTAAAAAAATACAGTTATAATTGGATGCAGAGCGCTAGAGACAAACAAATTTTTGGGCGAAAAATCAATTGTAGCTTTATCCACTCAAACCAAGATGTCTAAAAGAATATAATAGAGTTAAGTTGTAAGAACTAATTTCTCTTTTAAATAATGAAAACTCATCCAAACATGAGTGGTGTTGCACATTTTATCCAATTATATTTAACTAAAAATTAAGAAAAAAATATTAACATTATTAAAAAAAAATCATATTTTAATTAAAATTTCTATGTAAATGAACTTAGTGTCATTAGACAAATGTGCCTTTTGGCAATATACTTACATTATCTAGCAAAGTTAAATATCACAGTATGCTGTACTGGTTCACGATTGTTGCCTATGCAAAAAGAATCTACTAAGAAATTGTTTTGATTTTTATTGTTCATTTTAAAGGACCTCGTGAATACAAACTTATTTCAAAATATTTTTGTCGGTTTTTGTCATGTATCCTATATTCTACAATATATCTAATCTTGTTATGAAATAAAATTCAGTGAAAAAATGATCAAATTATAGTTGAAATACGTCATCACAAGGGAACTTGTGAACATTTAGAATGTGTGAGATTTGTTGTAAAAATAGTGTCCGGATAGTAAATGTTGTAATAAGTATTGATTCTGTATAATAATAAATCTTGGTTTGTTATATTCATAATCGCAAATAAGCCAAGCGAATTAAAATAAAATTCAATAAAATATATATTAAAACATGTGCATATGAATCGACCATTTGATTAAAGTCGGCGATTGAATTAAAATTAAATTCAACAAAATATATACAAAAATCATTATCTTTTGATATTAACATCGTAATTTCTTGGATTCAATATAGCTCGTCCTTGAAAGTATAATGGATTACGCTCTAGTGCATATGATTGACCATACACTTCTTCAAAATTTTTACCCAAAAGATTCCATCCCCAATCCATTCATTTTCCAATTGATTTTTGCATTGACTCAATATAGCTAGACTTTTTTTCTTTTCTCTTTTTATCCTTCATTTTCTTCAACATTTAACTGTTTTAGTTTTTTTTGCTTTCTCATTCTTCTACTATGTTCATATTTTTCATTCTTTATTTTTCTTCTTTTACCTCTTTTTCTATTATTTTCTTCTTTTTTTCTTTTTGTGGTCATTCTTCTTTTTGATCATTCTGTCATTTATATTCTTATTTTTCTTCTAATTTTTATTCATTTTAGTATATTCTATTTTTTCTGACTTTTATTCATTGCCGTTTTCTTTATTTTTTTAGATATATTTCGTTTTTTTTTTCATATTAAAAGAAGTATTTTTTAGTTTTTGGTCAATAAATTTTAAAATCTTTTATTTTTCAAAAAATTATTATTTGATGTACATATTTTTCATCTTTTTATTAATCTTATTAAACTTATTATTGATCACTGATGGTTTATTGCTTTTGAACTGTAGTACATTTAAGAGTATTTTATCATAAACTCTTATCACTATTATCATTTAATAACCTATCAATACTCAAACATACATATAATCTAATATAAGTACATCTGTTTATGATAAAATCCATTGTATTTTTTATCATAACGAAACTTCTGTAACACTTATTTGTAATTTGTGTTTTAGAATTGTAGATAATCTCGGGACAAATTCTTTGAATTAAAAGAATTTTTATGTTCTTTCTATATATCATACAAACTTTTCATTCACTTTTTTCAGTAAATCCAAAAAATACTAATAACAAAATGTCGATCTTTTTAATGAGGAGATGTCAAACAAAAGAGTTCAACTTAGGTTTCATTTTGATTTAGGAATAACTATTTTGATATTTTAGAAAACCATTCATGTATAGACTTCTCTTTTCACTTATATCTTTGCTTGTTAACACATTCGTCCCTGTAATTAAGCTAATTATTTTCCGCTTCAAAGCTAAGTGATAAGTTATTATGATAATATTATTATTCTAAAAGTAAGAGGTATACAAAACAATATACACAAAGGGGTGTGGGACTATTCATGATTTTTCTTCTTCTTAATTTCTTTCCTACATCTTCATATTATTTTTATTTTCTTCTTTTTTTCCCCACTGCTTATCCCATTTCTTTCCGTTTTCATCATCTCTCCAACCTCCTCATCTTTTCATCTTTATTTTTCTTCTTTGCAGTTAGCCGCAGAAGAACCAGAATATGAGAATAACAAACTGTTCCAGGATCTAAAGATTACTAATCAAATCAATCTACAAAACAAATCTCATTGATTTTTGTTGTTAACTAAGTTATTATGATAATCAAAGTTTGATCTAGACCTTATTAGCTATTTATGTGTTCGCAATCTACGGTTTCATGATTGATTCCAAAATTCAGTTCACACGCTATTGTTAAAAATCATTGTACTTGCTCTTAACTATTGCAAAATCATTACAATCACGTTCATTGTACTTGTATGAAAGAAAACTAACGTTTTTGGATCAATGATTCCTGCAGTCATTAAACCATCGTACTTGTTGCAGCATTGAAACTAAATTTAACGTCATCGTTAGAAAACAGTGGCCAATGAACAAAAGAAAAAAGAATAAAAAAGCTTGTTATCTTTTAAGAAAAAAAGCCAACATACAAAACCAATGTTTTTTATAGGTGAAGCAATCGCAAAATCAGTAAGGACCAGCGAAGTTGTCGTAGGAACAAAACATAAAACCAAATATGCACGCTTTAACGTGCCAAACCACCAGCCTTAAGAAATCCCATGAATTTTCACCTCAGCTTCAATAGATTTATTAAACTTGAAATCTAACATAAGTAAACGCAACAAAATAATATACACACTAAAAACTTACCAAACATGATGATGTTGATATTGCTCTTCACGCAAGTAATTCCAGACAATAATTATAAACTGATCCGCACAAACACGTTAAAACACGAGAAGACAAAACTATGATCAATGTAGGATTAGTAGCAATAAAAAAACAGAGTAAACAATAACCTAGAGGAAATCTAAAACTAAGCGGTGCAGAATGAATGAGAAGAATGAGAAAATTGGTTAGCATATATAGCTTTTGGAGAGCCTAGGGTTTTCTACGAACAACGTTTGCATGGTTCTGATTTTCAAGACAAAGAAGTATACATACAGCCTCCCAACGACTTAGGTTTCATCACTAACTCGCTGACCTAGCTTAACCAATAATCTCGATAAACCGAGTTGGTAATGATAATCAACAATATGACAAAACCGTGATAAAATTAAACAAAACCAAGTAGTTAAACCCTTTAAAAATTTCAACCATATCTAAACAACTAAACCAATGATTTTATAAAATCGATTATTTCATTAAGGGTATTTTAAGTCAAATTACATGAGGGGTAAAGGATAATCAACCATGATAACTCTCAACCACAGCCCAACTTGCTTCTCAATTAATAATATGATCCTTATTCATATTTCTATACATGATTTGCATATCTAATATATATTTTTTCCGTTTCTGCAGTTTGCACGAAATATATTAAACTGAATACTGTTCATTTAAATTGTATATTGCTTATATTATTTCTGCACATGATTTGCACGAAATTTGTTTAACTGAATATTATTCATTAAAATCGAATATTTCCCCATATTGTTTCTGCACATATTCATTCAATCGAATATTTTTCATATTGTTTTTGCACAGAATCGTTTTTACATGAACTTTGCAGGGATGTGTTTTATTATGTCATTATTCAGATCTAGATTTCTGTTTTAAAATTTGCACTAGTTTCTGTTTTTAATATTGTTAACCCGGAGTTTGCACATGTATGATTATCTGAATTTTGGACTGGCAGTTTATCTTGAATTCGTTAGAATTTTACACGAGTTTTGCACATAATTATTGCATCATACTTGTATGTTTTCACGAGATTTGCACTATTGCATCAAAACTTGTTTATTTACATGATCACGAAATTTGCACATACTTTATCACGTGATCTCTTTTGGTGAATTGATTCTTTG